TTGGGGATCCATCTTATGTTTTGGATTTAAGCACGGTTCAGTTGGATGGTGATTTGACTTATGATGTTGAGCCAACATCTATTTTGGAGCGTCAGGTTCGGAAGTTGAGGTCAAAGGATATAGCTTCGGTGAAAGTGCAGTGGAGAGGTCGGCCCGTGGAGGAGGCTACCTGGGAGACCGAGCGGGAGATGCGGAGCAGATATCCTCACCTATTTGAGTCTTCAAGTATGTGTCTTGACTCGTTCGAGGACGAACATTTGTTTAAGCTGGGGAGGATGTGATGACCCGACCAGTCGTCTCATGAGTTACCGCTCCATTTCCCCCATTTCTGCTTCTTATTGCTTTGCCTATCGGTTCTATATGTGATCAGGTTGTTTGGCTCGGGTTCGGAGAGGATTTGGTAAGTTTTGAGACACTTAGTCTCTTTTGAGTAAGCTTAAGTTGGAAAAGCCAACCGGATGTTGACTTATGTGTTAGAGTGCTCGGATGTGTAGATTTAGGCTTGAATTGGAGAAATTGGATTTTTGGCGATTTCCGGTTGGAAGGTAAGATTTTGATATAGGGGTCGGAATGGAATTTCGAGAGTTGCAGTAGTTCTGTTGTGTCATTTGGGATGTGTGTGCAAAATTTCAGGTCATTCGGATGTGGTTTGGTTGGATTTTTTACCAAAAGCGTAATTTAGAAGATTTTGGAATTCTTAGGCTTGAATCCGATGCGAATTTGGTGTTTTGATGTTGTTTTGAGCGATCCGAAGGTTGGAAAAAGTTTGAATGAGGTTATGGGATATGTTGGCATGTTTCGTTAAGGTCCCGGGGGCCTCGGGTGAGTTTCGGGTGGTCAATCGGAGCATTTCATGCTTTGGAAAAGTTGCAGAATTTTGAGCTTCAGCTGTTGCAGAGTTTTCTTCTTCGCAATCGCGTAGGGAGTCTCACGATCGCGTAGAGCTTTTGTGGGGACAGCCCAGGTTGTTTTTCATGTTCACAAAGATGGAGATGCAATCGCATAAGGTGGAGAGATTGTTGATCGCGAACGCGTGGAGAAGGTCGCGTTCGTGAGAGTTAAATGGACCAGGGGTTTGACTTGGAGTTTGTTCTTTGCGAACGCGGTCCACTGTCCGCGATCGCGTAGTGTAGGATGCTTGAGCATCGCATTCGCGTTGGAGTTGGCGCGTTCGCGTAGGGTTAAATTTTGGGTTCTGAGAAATTGTGCTTCGCGATCGCTAAGGAGGTTCCGCGATCGCGATGAAGGATTTGAGGCCTGAGCAGAATGTTTAAATAGTCGTCTTGTCTGCGATTTTGAGGTTTATTTCTTCCATTGTTGATCATTTTTGGAGCTTTTTGAATAAGATTGAAGAGGGATTCAAGGAGAATCACTTGGAGGTAAGATTCATGGACTTAAAATTCGATTCTAATGTGAAATCTACCTAAATAAACATGGAAATTAAGCCAAAAATTGAAGAACTAGGGCTTGAAAACTTAGACCTTTGAATGAGGATTTGAAGGACCATTTGAGGTCAGATTTCAGAACTTTTGATATGTATGAACTCATGAGGAGATAAGGAATCTATTAATATAAAAATTATCGAATTTTGAGACGTGGGCCCGGGGGTCGAGTTTTGGTAATTTCGGAATATGTGTTGTATAATGATTATTTTCGCTTGGGCTTCATTCCCTTAGCATATTTTGACGTCGTGATTCTGATTTTGGATAGATTTGATGCGAGTGGAGGCCGATTCGAGAGGTAAGGGCGCCGCGGGCTAGAAATTTGACCGGATTGAGGTGAGTAATGATTGTAAATGATCTCCTAAGGGTATGAAACCCCGGGTTTGCACATCGTTGTGCCATATTGAAGTGATGCACACACTTGATGACGAGCGTGGGGTCGTCCACTGTTGGGGATTGTGACTTAGTCCGTCCCGAATGACTATTTTATCGTGTATTTGTCTGAAATATATTTGCTATCATCATTTTTTGGGCTAAATGCTATATTTGGGCCTCGTGCCAACTATTTGAACCCTTCAGGAATTTTTATTGATATTTCCTCACTGTTTTGATTTTATACTTGAACTCAGTCATGTATATTCCACTGTTTTTATACTCAGCCATGTTTACTAGGTTTTAATACTTAAATGATCTTTTAAATGATAATTGGGCTGAGAATTATGTTTTACTACTACCGAGTGGCTTGTGAGGATTTTTGACTAAGTAAGGCCGATGGCCTATGTTGTGAGGAAACACTGATCATGATTTGAGACCGAGGGCCTGAGATATGTACGCCACGAAGTGGCTTGTTGATATGAGGCCGAGGGCCTATGTTGTGAGGAAACACTGATCATGATTTGAGACCGAGGGCCTGAGATATGTACGCCACGAAGTGGCTTGTTGATATGAGGCCGAGGGCCTATGTTGTGAGGAAACACTGATCATAATTTGAGACCGAGTGCCTGAGATATGTACGCCACGAAATGGCTTGTTGATATGAGGCCGGCCACGAGATGGCTTGATATTGCTCTTGGGTCGTAAGGGGCCCTTTCAGGAGTTTGCACACCCCCAGTGAGCGCGGGTACCCATAGTGATGTGAGATATAGCCCGATGGGCTGGTACTGTTCTGAGTTATTGCCCGAGGGGTGGATTTGTTGATACTGTGCTCGAGGGGCGAACCTTTATGTATTTATCTCCTTAATTGCATGTCAATTACCTACTTAATTCTTGAAAAAGGCTTTTCATGAAGTTTCATTTTAGTTAAATGACTTTCACATATCTTTTACTGATTTACTGTTTTTACTGCTTCATTATAGCTTGTAATGTGCCTTACGTGATTTCCTGCTTTCAGTCTTTATTTATGATTATTACTCACTGAGTTGGAATACTCACTTTACTCCCTGCACCCCGTGTGCAGATTCAGGCGCATCTGGTCCCGCTCCCGAGTGCTGATCTTTCCAGCTCAGGCAGATCCGAGGAGTCTCTAGGTAGCTGTCGGGATTTGCAGCCCAGAGCTTCTTCCCTATCTTATTTCTCTTTGTCTTAGTTTTGTATTGAACTCTATAGACTTTTCTTAATTATTTCGGATTTTAGATGCTCATGACTAGTAACACCCCGGTATCGGCCTGTGTTTGGTTGTTCTTCCGCATATTTGTATTGTTGACTGCTTATATTTTGGATTATTTTATCATGCTTTAGACTTGAATATTATTGTTTAATTGTTAAAGTCGAAATGGTAAGTGTCGGCCGACCTTGTCTTTACGAGAGGCGTCATCACGATCAGGTCCGGGTTTAGGATCGTGACAGGTGTTGGAGATGAAAATAGTAGTAAAGATGAGCCTGGTTAAAGTAACATACCCTACTTGTATTTAGGCTCAAATGTAAATTAAGTTATCCGACCCAAAATTGTATATTTCAGTTAGTGTGTATTACATTGACGGATTTTATTTTTGATTCTTATACATTCAATAAAAATCTTCCTAGAGATCTTTTTGTCTGCTACTGTGGCTAAATTAGGGTTCTTCAATCTATTGCGTCTCACTGTTAAATTTGAGTGTTAAGAATAAATCACATATAAATTTAACTGTACTATTTTACGGATACTTAATTTAAATGATAGGCAATGAGAATACCTTTTTTTATAAGAATCCTAATTAGAGGGTGTTTGGCTAAGCTTATAAGCTGGTCAAACTAGCTTATAAGCACTTTTTTGCATATTTACGCGTTTGGTAAAGTTAAAAGTGCTTATAAGCCAAAAATAAGCCAAATACCATAAGCTGGTCACCCCCAGTTTATGAATTTTTAGCTTATAAGCACTTTAAGTTTGACCAAGATTTTTACTATTTTATCCTTAAAATATTTTTTTTAGAACAAAACTCCTACATCGATACTCACTGCCTCCCCCCCCCAACCTCTTCAAGACTGCAATTCTCATTTACTATTTAAGATAAGCAAATTCTCTATTCCTTTGCATACTTACATTTATGTCTACGTGATTGTGTATTAATCTTTGAACTGTACGTAATAAATGAGGATATATCAAACTTTTGGTGTATTGCTTTCTAAGTGTTGTGGTGATGAAGACAATGTTTGTTTCTCTTCAAGTAATTTGTCATATTTAGGTTTTGTTTTTTACTGAGAAACTTTTGTTTATTTATTATTATTATTATTATTATTATTATTATTTATTATTATTATTATTATTATTATTATTATAACTTATGATTATATGCTTATCATAAAATAAATTATATTTATCATAAAAATTATTTTATCTAAGCACAGTTGAATTTAAAATAAAATGACAAATAGAATATTTTTATTTGAGTCGATCTGGAATCTATAATTTTAAAGAAATTATGCCCTTATAAGTGTAAACAGTTCTAAGATTATTTAAGTCATTTTAACATAAAAAGAGCTTATTAGCACTTTTTTATCAAATACTGTAACAACTTATTATCAAGTTCCGTATTTGTACCCAAACACGTAATTGCTTATGTATTAAATTAGTTTCAGCACTACTTCAAATCAGCTAATCCAAATGGGCTCTTAGTCTACGCACAACGTGAATATCAAACATCAAACCAAATGAGAAGTAAAAGAAAAACTTAGGGGTCGTTTGGTATGAGGTATAAGAAGGTATAAGGGTAGTATAAAATTTTAATACCACCTTAATAGTCTGTTTGGTCAGGTATAAGTTATCCCGGTGTTAATTTTAACACTGGGATAACTTATACCTTATAGAAGGTGGGGTAATTAGCACCGATATAACTTATACCTTCTTCTTAGAAATTATGCAATTATCATTCTTAATACAACATACCAAATAATGAATAAATAATAATCTCAGTATAACTAATTCTAACATAACTTATCCTAATATAACTTATACCGACACAACTTATATTGATATAAATCGTATTCCAACCAAATTGACCCTTACCGTGTAAAAGAGCTCCCACTGGCCCACCCCCATATATAAAAATGTTTATCACAAACAAAAAAACGAAAACGGGGACTGATAAGGAAGTATGTTGATTTTGTTTGGTGTACAGAACATGAAGATTTTTTCAGAATTAAAGCCGATTAATAATTAAATTAATAGAGCAGTCACTACTCCTATAAACAAGGTAGAAATCCTCAGACACAGAATCCCTAGCCACTTTACTCCTATTCTCCTCCACCACCTTTTCATTTCCTATCTCCTCCTCCTTTCTCTTCTGCTCTGTTCCTCTCTTTCACACACACACAATTCAATTATGGCCGGAAGCGGTGTGGTAACACTTTACGGAAATGGTGCACTCACCGAGACTACAAAGCAATCCCCTTTCTCAGTGAAAGTGGGTCTCGCTCAGATGCTTCGCGGCGGCGTTATCATGGACGTCGTCAATGCCGAGCAGGCCCGTATAGCCGAGGAGGCAGGCGCGTGTGCCGTCATGGCCCTTGAGCGCGTCCCCGCTGATATACGCGCTCAGGGCGGCGTAGCCCGCATGTCGGATCCCCAGCTTATCAAAGAAATCAAACAGGCAGTAACCATCCCCGTTATGGCCAAGGCCCGTATCGGTCACTTCGTCGAGGCCCAAATCCTCGAGGCTATCGGAATCGATTACGTGGACGAATCGGAAGTCCTCACTCTCGCCGACGATGAGAACCACATCAACAAGCACAATTTCCGCATTCCTTTTGTCTGTGGCTGCCGTAACCTCGGCGAAGCCCTCCGCCGTATCAGGGAGGGAGCCGCCATGATACGCACCAAGGGGGAAGCCGGTACCGGCAACATCATCGAGGCCGTCCGTCACGTGCGTTCCGTGATGGGTGATATCAGGGTGCTGCGAAACATGGATGATGATGAGGTTTTCACTTTTGCTAAGAAGCTTCAGGCACCGTACGACCTGGTGATGCAAACAAAACAGCTCGGAAGGCTCCCTGTGGTTCACTTTGCAGCAGGTGGGGTGGCAACACCAGCAGACGCAGCGCTTATGATGCAGTTGGGATGTGACGGAGTGTTCGTGGGTTCTGGAATTTTCAAGAGTGGTGACCCTGCCAAAAGGGGACGCGCTATCGTGCAAGCCGTGACTCATTACAGTGACCCAGGACTGCTGGCTGAAATTAGCTGTGGGCTTGGTGAGGCTATGGTTGGAATTAATCTTGATGATAAGGTGGAGAGGTATGCTAATCGTTCTGAGTGAGATGGTTTGTAAGTCTAGAAAACTCTTAATTTCGTTTTAAATGTTTACAGTAATTGAGGTTTAAGGAGCCTCTTCTTGTGCTTTGGACGAGCGTATTTTATACTTTGGGATATGTTCTTCCGTATATTGTAGTTTTGATTTTCTGGCCAGTTGTTATTTCAGGTTTCAGTACTGAAACCGTTGGAATGGGATAATGTTTTTTACTCAAATGGGATGATTAAGATTCATTTAGTTATGCATTTGTATATTCAGCTCTGTAAAATTTGTCTCTGCGTATATTCTGGGGAAGTATGGCTTTTCTATTGATTAGCATGTGACTGAAGAAAGCACAGGAATCTGGATACCGGATACACATGATAATATAGGAGTGCCATATACAGTCATCTCTATAAGTTTTGATGCACAAATGCATGTATGTTAAATGTATGTAGTCTTAAAGTTACATGGAACAATTTCTTTCAGTCCATAGAGACTAAGCATGGAACAGAAATCAAGAATCCTTGTTGGCAAAAGGAACTCACTTGGGTTAAGGTTAATTGTTATTGGCACACTTACATTAGGCCCGGTATTTATCAGGAGTGTTTTGAACTTGGTTATAGATTGGACGATAGAGGATACATGGGATATTTAGAGGATCCCTAATTTTAGAAAATCCAAGGACAGATTATTGAGTAGCTAATGAAAGGAGTGCAGCTGTAGCAGAATGAACTTGAAGGATTTATATTAGTAAACTTCAACTAGTTTGAGTAGTAATATATCTTATTGTAGTTTGAGGCAGTGGGTGTACCTCTATGCTGGATTCACCTTCCATTACCTCTTGTAGAAGTAGAAGTAATTTCTCCCTTCTGGTTTCAAATGCACTCTAAGTTGATTTCTGGTGTGTTTAGTTTCAGCTGTGAATTTAATAGAGCTCTATTCTGTTCATCTTGGTATTGTTTCCTTGTTCACTTATTTTCAGCTTCTTGCAATTGAATATCTAGAGAAAGAAATTGGGTTGCCTATTGTTTGTGATGATTCGAATGAACATACCCCTGATTTAACTTGTTTCTTCGAAATGCCATTAGAAGTTGGTTTCTGTTTCGATTGTAGTTTGATCCAGTGAATCACGGGCAATTTGATATATAACCGGCTTTGAGTGGGTGGCATTTACCAAATCTTTCCTTTTTCCATTCCATGGTTGCACTCGTGAGCTTATGCCATTTACTGGTAGGTACACATGCCAATATCATGCAGTGGGTTTTTTGCTCTGTAAAAATATCTTCACAATTTGCGTCAGTGATATTTTCACTGCAAACCTTACTCTTAACTACATGTTAAAAGAAAATTTATCATTAGTGCATTCGGGAATGGTACGTTGAGATACACTTTTAACGTTATGCAACTATGCAACAAGTATGTTTTCTCCCCTATCAAATGTCCGTATCTAGTGATGTGTGTATGCCGTGTACACAACCATTATGTTTTGCCGTCCCTTCAAGACATCTGATAAAATTGGAACGAATGGAGAAGGTTAGCATGTCAATGAAAATAGGATAATTACAGCTGGAAAACAGAAACAAAAACCCACTTGGCTCTCTACCTGCTAATTCGCGAGTGCAATGTTATGCATTACCTCTTTCAGTATTGAAGCGCGGCATACACATGGAAACAGGGTAAGGTGCGGTTACTGGAAATCAGACGGGAAAACTCTAGCGAGATGGGAGATATGGAGAACTTTTTTTAGTTCAAAATTCTCACTTCCAACAAGAATTACATTCTCAGTTCTTTTTATTCATCAATAATGGTTGATGCCAATTACGACTTATCTAATTAATTTAAAATTTACTTTTCTCCTTCAATAGTAAATTGGATGCAAATAAACTACTTATGTAAGTAATCAGTGATACTTTAACTTAGGTAATTTTCACAGTTCATGGCTCGAAACAATTCAAGTACTCTGTAACGACTGCAGTTGCTAGAAGGTTGAATCGACTTTATGATTATCATTTGATGTTTTTTTTTTATAAAGTCCTTGAGAATTTGAAACGTCACTTGCACCACAATATTGAGAAGGAAAGATATCATTAACTTTGTGAGCGAACAGAATCAGGTAATCAAGAAATCTGGTTGTAGGACTAGACTAGTTTTTTATAACTGTTTACCTCGAAAAAGAGGGTAATAATTAGATGTATTTTGTGATTTTAAAGATATATGTGATTTATTCTAATACTAATGAATATACAAGTAATATTAAGTTTAAATAAGAAAAATTAATGAACCAAACAAGTGTTGCTATATCAGTGAGGACCTCGAGCTTGACCTTCTTGGGTGTCTTGAGGTCAGCTAAGATCAATGAAGTATGAACAATAAAGTAAAAAGCAATAAAGCTGAAGAACACTTGTTGAACACGTTAAACAAGAGACAACAGAGTAGGATATTCTATTGCATTGAATAATGTGTGATCTAAATGATTGGGGTCCCCTTTATATAAGAGGAGAAAACCCCAATATAGTACATTCCTAATTGAGATAAAGAATTCTATTGGTACATATGTATAACAACCTAGTACGGGCCTGTACCCTTTTGTACAACTCTTATCATTTAATTTATGCTTTGATCCACGTGTCCTTGAGAAATTCTCGCTGTTTCTTTATTGCCCCCGAGAATGCACTGCCCTCGATATAGGTCGAGCCTGGTCTTCGATCTGCTTCCTCGAGGTACGTGTTCCCCAACCAGGTATGACCTCTACCTCGAGTCACCCGGACTCGAAATTATAGCTCAATTTAATGCTTCGAAATCGAACTTTTTGATTTTGATCGTATATAATAACTTGGATTGCTTCTACAATCTATGTTCATGTAACTCCACAAGGTATAGTTTGGCACAAGATTTCCATCTGTTTAAAGCTTGGGGGACACAATTACCTAACGCCTACATTGCTGGAAGGTAGCAAGTATCCAATGAATTAGAAAAAACAGCCAAGCAAATGTGAATTATATTGGTGGCTAAAACGTGTTGGAATTTTTGATGAGATGACTTATTGGCTTAGCTGTAGGAATTTCTAATATTTACTCCCAGCAACCCCGCCATGAAGAAATTTACTACTCCATATAACTTTCTCTTGCTCTTCGCTCTACTAAAATTTCACACATCGCAAGCATCACTTTTAACGTCGGCATTATATACCTTTTCTAGGGCCAAAGTAGGGGAAATTTATATTCCTAATCAATTCCCAGATATTGAAACCAAAAGTTTTAACATTCCACCATGCATATCACGAATATTGATATTAATATTCCTACATATGAATGGAACAAACAAAGTTGGATATGTAATCTGTGGCAGTACTTGGAATTCAGAATAAATGAAAAACAGACTCTTGAAGAGAGTGAAAAGATAAAGAGTCAACAGAAGAAGTTATGAGAACGAATTTATTTTTTGGCTGGTGGGATAAGTATTCATAAGGAGAAATACATAGTTCCCAACGATCAACTAAACACCTCAACGAAACCTATTTCCAGTTAAATACTTCAAGTACTTGTAAATGCCTAATTTTTGCCATATATATATATATATATATAATATGTATGTGTGTGTGTGTGTTTGTCCTTATTTGTGTATGTATAGGTTTTAAGAGTTGAGTAATGGTTTGATAAATGGGGTAGGGTTTGGGCTAGTGTAATTTAATTAAAATTGTGCCAAAATTGTGCCAAAATTTGAGCCCAAAGAGCCCAAACTNATGTAATCTCCACAACTTTCTCTTTCCATATCTCCAAACCAAATCCTTCAAAAATCCCTCAAACCCCTTGCATCTTAGATCTAGGAAACTTTTCCATCACTTTTTTGCCCAAATTATTGAAGCTCCAACCACTACCACCCCCACAATACCTACATCAATGGATAGAGCTCCTCAAGACCTAGCTATTAATGTTAATTTCACCCTGAAAATCCGGCGACCAAAATCTGGCCAAATTCCGGCGACCTCCCCGAACACCCTCTTTTGGGATACCACCATTTTTTCGGCCACTTGAATTGTAAAATGGTAAAATCCTATTCTTTTTCATGGCTGATTTTTTATTTTTATTTTTATTTTTCAGATTTTATTTTTTATTATTAATTATTTTAGCATTAGTTTTTGAAGTTTTGGAATGTTAATTTTTCTATTTTTGCACTTGTTGAAGTAATAAAATAGCTTTGTGTTGATTAAAGTGAGGTAGTGAGGAAATGCTTGAGAGTATATGGTAAAATCGTAATCCTGCCCCGCTATTAATTATTTGATTTTTTTAGTTAAAGTTAGTTTCTATCTTGTTTCTTCATTTAATTCATTTTTGATTATGTTTGTCTTGTTGGTTTTATTAAATCGCTCCAGCGATAGCGTGCGTTTCGTTTGGCTTTAATAGATTTTTGTTTGCTTACTATTGGTTCATAACACATGTGTGAAGTTTAATTACATGTTTTAATACTTGGTTTAGTTTGAATCAACAGGGTGATATTGATGTTGTTAAAATCTGAAGTTTATGTTATTTTATCACAAAATAGGGTGCTAGTAGCCTACTTTTACTAGTTAGGGTGGCTGAAATGATATTTTTTTCTCTTTGTTTCTAACATAGTAGATTTCCTTTGACCTTTGGACAAATTTTGAATAGTGTTTAGCACACAATGTCAGTTTTTGTCGGACAGACATTTGGTGAACCAAAATCTGTCCAACTTTGGCTATTTAAGGGCTGCCCTTTCCTCACTTTGGGGGGACTCCATCACACTTCCAGGGGCATTTTT